GTGACAAAACCTAATCTCGAAATATGCCAACTCAACATGTACCTTCGGAGACACCTGTAGTACTCCTTTATAATCACCCAGTTACGTTGTGACGTTTGGTAGTACCCAAAGTGTTCCTCCGGTAAACGGGAGTTGCATAATTCTCATAGTTATAGGAACATGTATAAGTCATGAAAAAAGCAATAGCAATATACTAAACGATCAAGTGCTAGGCTAACGGAATGGGTCATGTCAATCACATCATTCTCCTAATGATGTGATCCCATTAATCAAATGACAACACATGTCTATGGTTTAGGAAACATAACCATCTTTGATTAATGAGCTAGTCAAGTAGAGGCATACTAGTGACTATATGTTTGTCTATGTATTCACACATGTATCATGTTTCCGGTTAATATAATTCTAGCATGAATAATAAACATTTATCATGATATGAGGAAATAAATAATAACTTTATTATTGCCTCTAGGGCATATTTCCTTCATCTTAATGGTCATGATGACACTTTATGTAGGGCGTTACCAATAACGCCAGACCTTAATGTACTTTAACCCTCTGCTACGTGGGCTGGCTGGGGTCCTGGCGTCCTCTATATAAGCCACCCCCCTCCACTGGTAGAAGGGTTCGCACCCCTGTAACTCTCACACACATAATCCAGTCGACCGCCTCCGGGCTCCGAGACGTAGGGTTGTTACTTCCTCCGAGAAGGGCCTGAACTCGTAAAACACTTGTGTGCACAACTGCTCCATAGCTAGGATCTTGCCTCTCCATACCTACCCCCTATTCTACTGTCAGACTTAGAACCACGACAGCCGCCGCAGCACCGTTAGGTTTGAGAATTGAGAATCGGGGGAGGGAGAGGTGCTCGGATGCTCGCCCGCGCACCTAACCAGATAGCGCTCGGTCCTTAGTCTCGTTTGCTGCGTGCCTCACGACGCTCGGTTCTCAGTTTGGGCAGGATTAATTCCTGGGCCAATATGACATATATGTATTAAAAAATTATAGGCCAAAATCTTGGGTATTCCAGGGAATTCCCAGGAAGACTCCCAGCTCCGCCATTGGAGAAAGGGAGGACGACACCGGCACTTTGCGAGTTTTTTTGTGCGTGAACTTTGTGAAGATTTCAGACAGTCGTTCAGTGGAGAATGGGATAGAGCCGGCCATGTGGTGCGGTAGAAGCGCCGGCAGGGACACGGTTGGCGGGATTGTTGGGGTGATTACCATTGAAAAAACTAGAGCATGCTATAGCGCGCTAATAATGGATTTTAAGATGGCACTATTTTACTATAGCACACTATTTTTCTCACTAGTGATTACCGACCGTAGCATCAACATGTCATCGAAGGAGGCAACGTCTGCCTACTTTCTTTGCTTGTCGTGGATCTATGCGTGAACATGGTGTCTCCTAAACTACATTGGAAACAAAAAAATAAAGAGTAGTTTGTTGTCAAAGAACGTAAGCATGTTTTTTTACCTTCTATATGAGTACCATATCCGTGGAAGCAATTTTTTTTTAAGTTTTGCTTCGGTACACACCCCTCCCCCACCTAAAAGTCTGTAATATTCTTAAAGTTATTTAAAAGGTGTATTCTTGTAAATTCATGATCAACTAATTCTAATCTCAATTCCCTAAATGGATCAAACAAGAGATCAGAACAATCCAATCATTTTTATTGAAGGGGTAACTTCTAATCTCCACCTTTAATCAGCATCGGAATCTGTAAACTTTTCTAAGGGGGTGTAACAAAGCAAAACTCAATTTTTTAAAAGAAAAATAAGGTTTAAAACCCCGGCCTATGATGGTAATGCACACAACCATTTTATTTATTAAAATTGATGCAAGGCAACATGGCCAAAGTCATCAACAAGCGGAGTACATAGCATAGACAACTACAACAAAACCATTACATGAGAAACATATTTCAAATCTTTTTCGTGCTTTGACATGTACGCCGTCATAAGTTTATCTCGATTCTCATCATGTTCTAATCACGTGACATTGTAAATTTATCAGGATCATCTCAATGTTCTGACCCATAAGACATTGTAACCTTTTCTCAGTCATCTTCATGTTCTGACCCATATGACATTGTAAGTTTATCAGGATCTTCTTCATATTGTGACCCATATGACATCGTAAGTTTTTCTGGATCCTCTTCGTGTTGTGACCCATATGACATTGTAAGTTTATCTGGACCCTCTTCAAGTTCTGGCTCATATGACATTGTAAGTCTGTTTGGATGCCCTTCATGTTCTGACTCGGATAGCTCCTTTAAACCATCTTCAACTTGAGATGTAATATGAACATGTTTATCTCCATTATCATCTTCTAGTTTGCCTCTTCCATATCCTGGTCCAATTTTCCGCAGTCCTTTGACAAACTTGAGGTTATTGGATCCAATAGTAATGTCATCTAGAGAGGAACACACGGGATGCACATATGAAAAGATAATGATTATGAGTAGTTTCATAGTGGTAAGAACAAGTAGCACAAATTCAAATTATACGAGGCACTGAACGCATGCAAACACAATAATTATGCTAAATACATAGACTGTATTGTGGCGATCTATCTGTACATTAGAGTCATCACAACAACAACAATAACAACAACCACCCAAACCAAACACATGTTTGCAGTATGCTCAGAGAAATAAATGAAATTAATCATTGATATCCGTATGCGTATGGAAGAGATAGATTGAAACACAATCTTTTACCATATCTAGTGAACATTGTATTCTATGCATCTAGACATTCATTAATCCCAAAAAAAATCTATTAGTTTTACTCTTGAACTATATATGGCGTAGGTTTAATTTACAGCCAGGTCCAAAACCATACAACATCAATTATATATCAAAACCATTGAATGTACATAGAATACGTTTTGTGATATTTCTGTGCATTAGAGTCATCACAATAACAAAACGAACCAAACTCACGTTTGTGCAGTATACATGGAGAAATAAATGAAACTAGTATTCGATATGCATATGCCAGTGAAAGGGCTAGACTGAAACACAATCTTTTATTTTAGTGAACAATGTCTTCTATTTCATCTTTCATCTAAACATTTATTAATCCCCATTTTTTTACTTTTTTTACTCTTCAACTATTGCTTGGGTTTAATTCTCACTCAGCTCCGAAACCAGTAAGTTATACAATCAATTATGAAACCAATGAAACCAGGATCACCAAGGTTAGTTTGTCTGTTTTGCCACATGACAACTGGGTGGAATAGAAGAGTCATCGTGCGCGCGTGCACGCGCGCGTAGAGAGAGAGAGAGAGAGAGAGAGAGAGAGACCATCTTGTTGGGCTATCAAGTCGCTGATAGCTGGGGGCATTGGAGTTTTGGGAAGCACTGCCTCCCAGTTCTTCGTCAGCGTTAACGATCGCGAGTTTGGTGATGTCGTCATGGCAGCATCAGTGAACCTCGCATGTTGACTGTCTCCTCCAGCAATCTGCATTCATCACAACGAGTTAGAGCGTGTACACGAACTACATGGCTATGAAATTCGTCAGTGCAGAAAGATCTGATAGAAGCATATGCATGCCATATAAACCAGTGCTTCCTATACTCACCAAAATAAGTGATATTAGTGGCAGTAATAAGTCCATGGCGTGTGTATTGTTATGTGTTGCATCGCCAGATAGACGGGGTCCTATTTATAGTCCAGAGAGGGAGCCACTGGCATAAATTATTGCTTAGGAACTAATATAAATGTGTAAAAAGGGTTTTAGCTCCATCCAAGATTCACTAACACTGCAAGCTGGCCTATACTGAGCACTGACGTGAGTGGCTCATCAACATGATTTAAAAATAAACGGTGGATTGGACACCGTTTTTTTATCAATGCAGTGCATTGGACACTGACCATTTGTTGCGTGCGTTCCTTGTGTTTGTTTCTTTATTAGAGTATAAGACCTGTGGTTGTGTAATCATCTATCGATCAGATATGCTGAACGATATACCCTGCCGACAGATGTGAGCAAATGAACATTACATGGGCCATTGTCTCATAAGATGTTAACTGGTCTGAAAATCTTGATGTAATTTTTATCATCTTTGAGGTACTTTGTACATTCGGTGAACTTTGATAAGTCTTACTAAGTCAGCGACTATTAATATGGATCGGAGGGAATATCATTTATTTTTGCATCCATATAGTCGACCATCCAGACAATTCTGTAGTGCTGCAAACTTGTGTGTGTCGTTCAAAGAAAAAACTTGTGCGTGTAGGAGTGCATATTGCATATCATTAAACACATATTTATATTTTATTGTCTCGTGTGTCGCGTGTGACTGATTTGAGCCCCATATACAGTTACATATTCATACTTTATATACCCACGCGTGCCGCGTGATTTACTTTAGCTCTCACCTTTGTTATCCAAACATGAATACGTTCGCTGCTCCTCAGCAGTAGCTGAGCTACCGATGCTGGTAGGCTAGTGCTACCTATTTACTATCAACATTTGCATAGACACCAGTGAGCTCTCTGACCAAGCAATATATAGCACTACACACTCGTCATAGAAGTATAGAACTGAACACAAAAGGGGAGAGTGGCCAGAAAGAGAGGAGCAATGGCCGCTCAGGCAGAGACCATAGAGGTTCCCACGGACGCTGAGCTGCTGCAGGCACAAGCTGACCTGTGGCGCCACAGCCTCTACTACCTCTCCTCCCTGGGTCTACGCTGCGCCGTTGAGCTCGAGATCCCAACTGCCATCCGCCGGCTCGGCGGGGCTGTCTCGCTGCCCGACCTGATGTCGGCGCTGTCCCTTCCCTCGGTTAAGATGCCATTTCTCCGACGGGTCATGCGCGTGCTCGTCACGTCTGGCGTCTTCGCCGCCGACAACGACTCCGGGTCTGAGGCGATCTACCGCCTCACCGTTGTCCCGCATCCTGGTGCACGGTGTCGTAGCGGATGAGCACCACAGCCAGAAGTATTTTGTGCTCGGTGTGACCTCGCCACATTACACAGAGGCGGCGATGGGGCTGGCTGGCTGGTTCAAGAAGGACCATGAGCCACCGGTCCCGTCACCCTTTGAGGACATCTTCGGGGTGCCGCTCTGTGATGACAGAACGCCGCTCCTAGACAAGGAGCTGGACGATGTTGTCACTCAAGGTTTGGCTGCCCACGACAACCTGGGGATTGCCACTGTAATGCGGGAGTGTCATGACCTTTTCAAAGGGCTAGGCTCATTGACTGACTGTGGCGGTGGTGACGGTACGACGGCAAGAGCCATCATCAAGGCTTACCCGCACATCAAGTGCACTGTGCTAGACCTTCCCAAGGTGGTCGACAAAGCTCCAGCGGATGGTGTTGTTACCTATGTCGCAGGTGACTTGTTCCATTCCGTCCCATCATCACAAGCTGTGATGCTCAAGGTAGATGGTAACAATTCAAGAGAGAATGCTTAAATTTTTGTTTTACAAAAATTATTATTTGGAACTTGATCTTGACGCTTTCATATTATTGCAGCTTGTGCTACACTTCTGGAGCGATGAGGATTGTGTGAAAATCCTAGCTCAGTGCAAGAAGGCCATTCCTTCGCGCGAGGAGGGAGGGAAGATAATAATCATTGAAATTGTGGTTGGACCTTCCTTAGGGCCAATAATGTTTGAAGCGCAGCACCTTATGGATATGCTCATGATGGTGAACTCAAAAGGGCGTCAACGGGATGAAAATGAATGGAGCAAACTATTCACTAAAGCGGGGTTCACGGACTACAAAATTGTGAAGAAACTAGGAGCTCGATGTGTCATTGAGGTCTATCCATAAGATATTGTGCTATAGGCACATGAATAAAGGGAGTGCCTATTACCATAAATGTAAGTTGCATGGACTGTAAGTAGTTTAAGTGCCCAGCTTAATCCACTGATTTATGGTCCATGCAATGTTGGCTTTGGGAAGTAATAAAGCACTTGGTGTGCATCTTCTATCATGTAGCTAAAGATGGTTTGTTGTATGTCATCGATCTATTACATGTTTAAATCTTGACCCTTCTAGCAGCTTTTGCCGAGTACTGGACTAGATAAAGGTACCCTTACCGAGTGCAGCTCTGGGCAGCTGCGGTGCTTGGATGCCCACTGTCAATATCCAACATTAGTTTGCCAAGCTTGTAAGTTGTGTACAGATGGTTTGCCGTGTATCATGTTGCCGTGCGCCCATGATCCGCACACAGATTGGAACTGGGCGAAGACGAAATTTTCAGTAGTGTCTTCTGATTCATAATATAGCTGAGGCCAAAACAGATTATCATAAGCATGATCATGCTTTGACTTTCTATTCTATGAGTGCCCTAAAGCAAAGCCAAGAAAGCTACTCCCTCTGTCCCTAAATATAAGAACGTATTTTACACTAGCTTAGTATAAAAAACGTTTTTATATTTTGAGACGGAGGAAGTAGTTGCTGTCTTGTTCTTGATCGCGTACGTCCACACCGAGCGAAAATCCCATGGATTGGAATTGGATCCGATTGGACTGGGGAAAGAGGAGCTAGCTGTTCTGATGCCGTTGCGGTGGTAACATGGAGTTGCAGGTGAAGTCGAGCGTCGTGCCAGCCGCGTCCAGTACTTGACGGCCACCAGCCCGCCCACCTCCCACCGCCCTCCATGGTGGCGCGGCCGGCGCCGTCAAGCGTTACCGCCGACAACGATGCCACGTAACCCAGCGACTGGCGGCACTACTCCGTTGCCTGGGCTATATATTATGCCTGGCTAGTGACTACGTTTTGGGCGAAAAAAATTCGAAGGAGTAGAGGCCGAAGAAGAGTTGATTTCCTTGTGCAGTATGGTACGGGAAGAGAGGAGATCGGTCCTCTTTCGGTTTGTGCAGCAAGCGCAGTCCAAAAGGAGTAAATTTTATCACTTCTGCTTCGGTTCGTATGTTGATGACGTAGAATATGGATCCTGTTGCGGAGGAATATAATCCGGATCCTCCGCCTTTTCGGATTTGTAAAGCGGAAAATCTACCGTGCACTGGACCTGCGGTGCCTGCATCATAATCCGAGGGCTGCTGAAGTTTTTTTTCATTATTTATTGAATACTACATTGGGAAATGTCAATAAATCACAATACAGTACTGTAGCAGTTGTCCTTGCATGCATACTTATGTCAGGATTTTACATAAAAGGTGCGAGAGAGTGAAGAGATATAGTACATTGCATGCATAGCTATTTGTTATATCTCTCTCCCACTAAAAGCTTGCATTTTTTTTTATGTGAAACGTTGAATGGCTCATAACTTTTGAATCAAATATTTGTTTTTGAATTTTTTATATATATATTTGAACTCCTGGTGCCAAAATCTTTAAAACTAGACCAATCTTTGTTACATTTCAAACAAGTTTGAATTTCAACGTTTCATATTTCATATGTGAAACAAACTTATTTCATTAGAAAAATGTGTAAGAATTTATTTCAAAAGAGTGAAATATGTCTGGAAACAATAATTGAAATGGATGCAGCACTGAAACTGTTCTGAAACTGAAATGGATGCGGCCTGGAAATTTTAATTTCATATTTCAGTCTCCCACTATTATATAATGTTGCATTTCAATCTCATATTTATCGAAATGGATGCGGTACCAAAACTGGTATGGAAATTGAAATGTGGTCTGGAAATTTCATATTTCATATTTCAGTGTCACATTATATATACTAGTTGCACTCCAATTTCATGTTTCAATCTCACATTAATTATAATGGATGTGGTAATGGATCTGGTCCGAAAAGTGAAACGAGTGCGGTCTGAAAATTTCCATTTCAATTTCATATTTCAGTCTCCCACTATTATATACTGTTATATTTAAATTTCATATTTCAATCTCACATTTATTGAAATGGATGTAGTACCTATACTGGTATGGAAATTGAAATGGACGTGGTCTGGAAATTTCATATTTCATATTTCAGTGTCACATTATTAGTTGCATTCCAATTTCATATTTTAATCTCACATTAATTGTAATGGAAATTGAAATGGATGCGGTCTGGAAATTTCATATTTCAATCTCAAATTATGTATACCAGTTGCATTTCAGTTTCATATTTTTAATATCACATTAATTGAAATGGATGCGGTACTGAAACTAGTCTTGAAATTGAAATAAATGTGGCCTGAAAATTTCAATTTCATATTTCAGTGTCACATTGTATATACTTGTTGCATTCCAGTTTCATGTTTCAATGTCACAGTAATTGTGAAATATGCTTTACTTTTAGTTGAGTGAAATATGTTATTTGGAATAGGTGAAATAAAATTACTTGAAATGTATTCAATACTGGTCTTATTTTAAAGTTCTTGATGTGAACTGTTCAGCTATATAAAAATATCACCGATCAGATTCATGGTTCAAAAGATATCACTCTCCGAAAAAAATTCACTATGTACGTACTAGTTGGTGGGAGAGATAAACAGGCGTGAGAGAAAAATAACTGCTATATATTCAAATGAGAGGAGAGGTGACCATGGAGGCAAAAGGTGGCCAGAAGACATGCTAAATGATGTCAGACGAGGTGACGTGCTAGAATGAATTCAAAAGAGCATATGTCAATACTATGGCCAATACATAACTGCATGATCACGAGTCTCCAACAGATCAAGGGCTCCTACATGCATGGGACCTCCCGTACACGGGAGAATCCATTTTCTCTGAACAGGTCTTGTTATCGTGACCTTGAATAAACAGTGAACTCGAAGATGATTACGGCACTTCGTTAAGCTATGGAATATTAGGTTGTTTCACAATTACTGTGACATTATATGCTGGATCCATAAAGATTGTTTCTTATTCTGAAATGCTTCAAAAATCCTCTTCTGTGATGCTGGCATTTGTCAAGACAGTGAAAACCTGAATTAGGTAAACTTGGTTGAATTATATCATGCAACAAAGTTTGTTAACTAAGTTGTGCCAGGTATCTTTAGCTCGAGCTAGGTGAATGACCTTGCAACAATAGTGATGTTGGTTGAAGCAGAAAGTTGAAAATGTAGCGTGTCACTGGCTTTCATAACGTTAGAATTCTAGTCATAGGGGCACGACCAGAAGATTCAATTGCTGAGGCATGCCCCCCTCCCCCGCGTCGCTCCCAACACGAGCGACTCGGGAGGCAACGCAACCCTCGAGTACTCCCTCCCTCCTCCCCGCCGGGCCTCCTTCCCCTCCCCCTGCCGATGCTAGTGCTCCCCGCCGGGCAAAGCCCTGGCGGATCCAGTGGTGACGAGACTTCGCTACAAGGCGGCCTTTCCCCTTGAGTGTGGGGCTCGACGAGGCTGACAGAGATGTCTTCTCCAGCCTAGGGTTTTGTGATGGCGGTCCCAGTCTAGAGGGTCGGGCTCTGGACCTAGCATGGCGAGCACGCGGGCGCGCCGCGCGACCTTTTGGGGGCACGGATGCGGCTACTTAGTTGTGCCCGGACGGATCCAGGTGGTCGAGGTTGCGGGCTGGCGCGGCGGTTATACGTCTCTATCGTAGCTATAATTTTTGATTGTTTCGTGTCAATATTCTAAAATTTCATATACTTTTGGCAACATTTTATATTATTTTTTAGACTAACATATTGATTTAGTGCCCAGTGCCAGTTCCTGTTTGTTGCATGTTTTTTTTGTTTCGTAGAAGATCCATATCAAACGAAGTTCAAGTGCAATAAAATTTTGCACAGAATTATTTTGGAATATATGTGATTTTTGGGAGATGGAATCAACGCAAACGGAGGCCGCAAGCCACCTAGGTGCCCCCCTGGTGCGCGGTGGTGCCTTGTGGGCACAATGTAAGTCGGTTGGGGCTCTTCTTCGGCCGCAAGGAAGTTAATATCCGAAAATCGTGTTAAAATTTCAGCGCAATCAGAGTTACGGATCTCCGGATATTTAAGAAACGGTTTTCGGCGAGAAAACAAGAACGTGAAACAGAAGAGAGAGAGAGAGAGAGAGAGAGAGAGAGAGAGAGAGAGAGAGAGAGAGAGAGAGAGAGATCCAATCTCGGAGGGCCTCTCGCCCCTCCGGGTACCATGGAGGCCAAGGTCCAGAGGGGAAAACCTCCTCTCATCTAGGGGGGAGGCCAAGCAAGAAGAAGGAGGGGGCTCTCTCCCCCTCTCTCCCGGTGGCGCTGGAGCGCCACCGGGGCAACCATCGTGACGACAATCTACACCAACAACATCACCACCGTCAACACCAACTCTCTCCCCCTCTATGCAGCGGTATAACAGCTCTTCTCCCCGTTGTAATCTCTACTTAAACATGATCCTTAATACTATATATTATTATCTAATGATGTGTTTCCATCCTATGATATTTGAGTAGATTCGTTTTGTCCTATGGGTTGATTGATGATCGTGATTGGTTTGAGTTGTATGTTTTATTTTGGTGCCGTCCTATGGTGCCCTCCGTGTCACATAAGTGTGTGCGATTACCGATGTAGGGTGTTGCAATACGTTCATAATTCTCTTATAGTGGGTGGTGAGAGTGACATAAGTTTATACCTGAGTAAGGGGGTTGTTGCGTATGGGAGTAAAGATGACTTGATACTTAATGCTATGGTTGGGTTTAACCTTGATGATCTTTGATAGCTGTGGATGCTTGCTAGAGTTCCAATCATAAGTACATATGATACAAGTATGGAAAGTTTCCGGGGGGGTAGACCCTGGGTAGCTAGCTTCACCAACACTTAAAGAGATTTCAAGACATCGTGGCAGGCGAGCCCCTCAGGCCGACTGGTTGCGCGGCCAGCTGCCAGAGCCGGCTGGTGCCACGTAGCCGGCCTCTAGAAGACGGCGCACTCCTATGG